GTACATGGTATTGCTCAACTATTATCAAGCATACAGTAACAGTCTGTTTTAAGCCTTTGATCACAAGCAAAGATGTTTTTAAGGGTTTCTGGCATTGCAGTTGACAGTGGGTAATAGGATGATGGTATAATATCAGCCCCTTTCTACTTATTGTAAGATTCTTTGGGAATAAACAAACCTTGCGTGTCAGCGTTTTTCCAAGCAGCTTTGTGTCAGCGGGATTTGTAGGCTGGAAGCTTTTCCTGGCATTTTTTTCATGATCCAGTCCAAGCACAGACTGCAAATTTTGGATCACAGCAATGAGCAGTCTCCTGGAGTTTCCTCAAATCTCTTCCTGGCTTTCTCTTCTGATGAAGCATTCCTCTGTAGTGCCTATAAATATATTGTAAGTTTCAGCCAGCTTTTTTCTTTGGTTTGGAATTGCAGGGGAGTTCTGGGGTTTGTTCTGAACGGCGAAGAGAAAGCTAAGCTTCTGGGAGAGGCCTCTGCAGCATTTATGTCAATCTCTAATTCTTGGGTGAAGAATTAAAGTGAGAACAGACAGTGAGACAATAAGGAAAGTAACTTTATGAGGCGCAGTGTGTCGCGTGTGTAGCCCTTGCACCTTACAGTTTTCTGTCCAGACGCTTCAGACTGTATCTATGCTAAGAAGATTTCAGCAGTTGTGAGTAGTTCTCAAAACCCCTTGACAACCTATTATTAGGTTTTTCATTTTGAGCAGATGACAGGGCAATGCTGTCTTCTGTCTACGAAGAGCAGGAGGGCTTGTGGGGGAAGTGTCCTTACATCTTTTTGACATTTTGGAACAATATAATTTGGTAAGCTGTTTGCATGTCTTGGGTGAAAGCAATTAATATTTTTGTTTGTGAACTATCTTTTACAGGCCTTGTCACACTTGATGCTTAATATTTGGGGGTGTTCCAGATGTCTTTTTTCCAATACCTGCAACTCAAATGTCTTTGATTATCTTTGTGGTTGATGTTGCAGATACATCAAGACTTCAGGCAATGCCACTGTTGATCACTTGTCCAAGTACCTAGCTGTGAGATTGGCTTTGGAGGAGCTTCGTAGCAAAGGAGAATCAAACCAGATGAACCTTGACACGGCCAGTGAGAAGCAGTATACTATTTACATTGCTACTGCCAATGGGCAGTTCACTGTAAGTAGGACTTCGGTCTAAGAGTAAAACTGAGCATCAGTACATCTTTGATAGAGATTTGGTTAAAATCCACTCAGCTGGACTTGTCCTGAGTTGACTTAGGGATACAATTCATAGCACCAGGTTGTTTATTTAGAAGCAGATCAATTCCTTTGTGGAAAAATGTATACAGCAAAAGTTTGCTCAGTAGAAAAGGAGGTGTATAAATTACTTGGGAAGAATCCAGTGATGCCAGCAACTACTAGCTGACTTATGCCATAATTTTACAGTTAAAATTGAAGAGGAAAAATATTACTTCATCTAAGAATCTTGTTTCAAGAGCAGATAGCTGTAGCACCAGGAAACAGCTATTGTAAGGTGGTGTTTCTCCACTTGTACGTAGGCTTCTAATACTCACAGCTGTGAGTACGCTTAGAGAAGAATCTCTTCTCTCATTTGCTGAATTTAGAATTTACAGATACAACAACAAGGCAATATCACAATTAGATTGAAGTCTGAGCCCAGTCTTTCACTTGGGCATTTATCTGAATAAAATAAAGTCTTCCGGTTAAGAGACAGACAGATGCTTTGAAATAAGAATCTATTTCAAACAGCTTTCAAACATCACCACAGATTGTCTCTTAGACAAAAGCAGAGATGGTTCCGGTTTCAATACACATATACTACTCCCTCTGTTTACAGAGAGGAAAGAGGAAAACGGAAGTTCGCTGTATTTACAACTATATTCACCTTGCAAAAGTGTTTTTTGGTGCTGTTTTAGTTAGATCAGCAGGAGTTCAGAATAGCTAGCATGGTTGCTTTTTGATGCCGAGTGGTTAGCTAATAACTTGTTCCACATTATCAGTGACTACTTTAAATCACTGCATTCCTCTGATTTAAGTAGTCTGTTTCTACAGTGCTACCCGTGCAATCCACCAGATTTTTTTCATTTCTGTTTGGGTGTTCTCTTCTAGGTGCTGAATGGGTCATTTTCCTTGGAACTGGTCAGTGAGAAGTACTGGAAAGTGAACAAACCTATGGAACTGTACTATGCACCAACAAAGGAACATAAATAAGCTGTGCTGGAAAACTGAGATGGGACTCACTCTTTTTATAGCTATGACTTCTTTAATATTAAAAGAAGGCACCACCATTATCTTCATGGACAATACACATGATGCCTTCAGGCTCTCAGTATACTCATTAATATGATTAGACAGTATTCTGGGTTATATTTAATTTAATCTTTGTCTTGGGTTTTTGGTTTTTCCCTAGGAGACTAAATGACCTTCTCCAGTGCATTCCAGTGTTTGACATGCTTTTTTGTTTCTAATGCATGATAACTGAATGAGTGTTCCGGTTTGGAATGTCTTAATTTTGTCCAGGTAAATCTGGATTTCTAATACATTTGACACAGTTACAGTAGCCTCTGTGAAGTATTGAGCATTGGATGACTAAGTAAGTCTATTCAATAGTAACATACACCAAGGAATGTGTTAAATGTTGTAATTTGCTAATGGTTATCCATATAAAAGATGGGTAGAGAATTGATTTCTGATAGTATTGCAGCTAGAGGTCATCTGATGCCCTACAACAGATTTATTAGTCATTTTCTTATGAACAAATAGAGCTGTAGGGAGAAAACTGACACTTTAAAACCTTGCTGTTATACTTCAGTGCAAGGTGATTCAAGATTGGTTTGCTTTTCAATGGATTTCAGTCAAAAAAACCCCAAACAGCTCAAACACATAACTCTTCCCATGTAGAACATGCCAATCTTGATGCACACTGCAACTTCCTGTCTGACCCCGTGGCAGTGTTATCCTGTCCTCACAAGCTTAATTAAGGAAAATCTGGAAGTTTTACACCCCTACTCTGTTCCCTATAATAAGATTTTCATTGTGAATGTATTAGAATGTTCTCTAAAGAACTGTCCTGAAAACTCTTTTTTTTTTTTTTAAAGCAAATCCCAGAAATTCCAGCACATGGACATAATGCAACATCAAAATGCTTTGTGTTATGGAATTTGTCCCACCCAGCTGTGAGCTTATCCAGATGTCAGTTTGAGTAAGGAAGACTTCAACCATAAGCTGCTCAAAGATTTTTTTTTTTTAATTTATTTTTTTTTCCATAGCTTTAACAAATGTGGCTTAGCACTTTGGGAGACAATTTTAGTACTTGACAAAGTTTACCATTTAGTGTCTTAAATTTAGGTTCAAGTTTTAAAACTTGACAGTAGGCTGTTGTGTAAAGTCCAGTAGCTGCTGTTCATTTGCATGTTAAACTCCTCTTTCCTTGCTCTGGACCTTGCTGTCACTTAATGGAGGTTGCCTACCTATTAGCATTCTGTCTTAAGGGAAATGATGTTACCATGAGATTCTCTTTGCTGCAAGACTTGCTGATGAAGCCTTCACCCATTTGCATCTGAAGCTAGAAGCAAAAAATGTTGCTGATTGATGGGTGAGAAGTAATATACTTTAAACCATATGGTATTGCTCCTTCTTTGTCTTGCCTGTAGTGGACTGGTTTTGGCATGTGGTACAGAAGTATTCAGATGCTCGGGGATTCTCTTGGGAAGGAAGTACCTTTCCGTCGCTTCTATTTGTCAAGGCCTAGCACTTGTAAATGCATGCCCATCCTGACTGCTGTTTCAGAACAGCTTTATCCCAATGTGAAAACTGCACAGGCTTCTTTGAGTAACTTATTTTCTCTTACTGGAAAGACTTGTTTGGTTTTTTTCACAGGAAACAGAAGTTTTCAGGCCGCAGAATACAGAGGGGGCAGTTTTTAAGGAAATGTGTTATTTGTGACTTTCTGGTGAAATGTTGCATTGTATAGACTAGTAGTGCATGTCCACTAAATATAATCTTGGGGGGTGGGGGAGCAGGGATTATAAATGCTTTTTAAATTTATGGGTTAACTTCTAGACTAGTTGCAGCATACCTTCCCATTGTGATAGCTAAGGTAATGTCCAGTCCCTTAAGCAAGAGGTGTTTGTGAAGCTGAGCAGTCTGTCTAGGAGCTCTCTGTCACTTTGTCCCCAGTTCTTTAAAAAGTGTGGGAGAATGTGAAGCTTTTATTTTCATGTTGTAGTGAATTTACTGAATATTTATGTTCCTTAAATATTATCTATATAATGTAGTTGTTTGATTAAACCATTGATTGCACTGCGACTCTTTAGTGCTATAAACTATTTTATTTTCAAAATGACTTTACTCTTCCACCACTTAAAGCCATATTATTTTTAAAGTACATAATGTGTGTTAGGTACGGGTAAGCCTAATAGCTCTAGTATCCACCTAAAGTCACACAATAAAAGCAAAAATGTTATCAACAACCTATTGGGAATTCCAGTGCTGCTTCCTCTTACAATTCATAAAAGAAATAAATGTTTTATTGCTGCTGTGTTTGTGGTTGTCCAAAGGGGAGGGTGAGTAGGTGCAGGTGACTTCCACTGGTGGTGACTGGAGTTTAGTCTGGGCCTGAGCACAGTTATAGTCCAGTGAAACCAACTCAACTCCTGTACGTGTTACATGCCTTGACTGAGAAATACAGAGGCACATAGAAGACAGCAGCTCTTCCAGGCACCTGCCATAGGTCCTGCTGTTCTTATCAGATCCTGTAGCCTGAGAAAGGGGATGAAGGATCTTCATAGCACTCTAATTAAACCCAGCAACTCTGGTTGCATGTACTCGTATGTAAAGCAGCTTCAACAGAAAACAGCGTAGGATAACAACTGTAACAAATCATTTGACTTGAGGTACTTCATTAGAAGTGAAGTTCTGTTCCTTTCCTTGCTTTTACTTCTACAGTTATTACAACTTTTAACCAGAAGGATACACCTTAAGAGGGAATGTTTGCGTACGCTAAGGTTAGGGTTTCTTGAGATGCAGTGAACTTAACCTCTGAATGCAGAAGAATGTCACTTTTCTGCCTGTGCTCCTGCTGTATTGACAATGATTTTCAGAGCCTTCTTTGAACAGCTTTAACTCCATTAAAGCTTCCTTTAATCACAGGTAAAGACACCCAGAAGAGGTCATGTGTACCTACTCTCTGCTGTATACAGTGGGTAGGTGGACATGTCCCTCAGCTAAAAAGCATTAGAGGTGCTACTGTACTACCCATACTGGTAACCAGATCATACCCTAAAACTTAAATTTTCCACCATCCTCTGGTGTTTGTCCTCCAGCATGTTGATCAGCTGATAACCTAGTACTGACTTCAGTACCCTAATAGTTCCAGCAGTTCATCAGTTCTGCCCAAGCCACATGCAGTGCCTTTGTTGCATGTTGAAGATTGCATATTGCATGTCATTAGTGATAGTGGCACAGAGTGCCTGGCAAAGTACCACAGCGAGTATCAGCTTAGGCCTGGTGGTACAACATTGCCCAGCTCTAAGCATCTGAAGAGAAATCAGCACTAACCTTGCCACTAACACCTGCACTATCCTAACTTACTTACTACTGTAATACCCAACCATGGCAATACAGATTACGCAACTTGATCAAAACAGCTTTGGGTCATGCTGTGCTGTTGATGACTTGTTGAGACACAGCCATGCAGACTGCTGTGTTCCCCAGGCCCTGTTTCTATACAGTACAAGGACAACGTGCTACTCCTACCTTCTAATAGAATCAAGAAGTAACAAGAAGCCCTTAAACAGCAGCCTTGAACCAACACTAGTATTCTGTTAACTAATTATTGCAGGACTGATCCTACCTGATGAACAACTGAGACAACTATTGAACAGAAAGACAATTTTCATAGGCCTGAGTTACAAATACCCCTTTTGCTGGTCACTTACAACAGGCAAAACTCCTTGTCCCAGATTATCGTTGCTTCTGCCCCTCTGACAGAGGAAAAGAGCCTGAATTGTATGGACAAGCCTGACTTTCAGTTTCTCTGGCCCTTCTTGTGTGCAGCTGTGAACACCAAGGAAGAGTTGCTTTGATGTGAAAAAGATGCAAAATACTTTATGACTCCTCCTAAATAACAGAAGGTAATCAAAAACGTTTCCCACAACAGGCTTCAGTTAAACTTTCTTTTTCAGCCTACTTTATTGTAATTGGAACACTATTTCGCTCCAGTTAACCAACTTTATGACTGATCCTATCCCACTTATGTTAATACTGAAGTGAGGAGTGTGTTACCTGCAAAGCCTTTCACTAGTCTCTCCACTTAAAAAATAATTCCTGAGCTCAGAACAACTAGGGAACACTGTAACTTTTCTTTTTACATGCATTTATCTTTCCAATTTGATCTCAAGTTACCTTTAAAAAAGAACTATGAGCACTACAATTTTGAAGGAAACTTAAGTTTGTTGCTGTATCACTGCCGAAGTGCAATCCATTATCTCTTTAGTGGGCTCCTCTTTTTTTCATTAGGACAGAATGAAAATGACTTGTTACCAAAGCAGTCCTGAATTTAAAATGGTATACGAGGCAGTAACTTAATCCTGGCCTGACTTTTGCATAGTCAGGAGTGTATCAGCTGTGTTACTCTTGGTTTGCACTCAATGAGAGAGCAGCAATTAATACTCTTACTGTCCAGTTCCAGAGATGGATAAATAAGCATAATCATATTCTGCTCTTAGATAAACCTGGCATTGGGCCAGGCTGAACACCAAAGCTATGAAAAAAAAGGAGAACAACTAGTTCAATTGCAAGAGTTGTTCCCAATTCAAGTGAAACATATGGAGGTATCTGAGCAAAGTTTTGGGGAAAGAAAGGACAACGTCAAGCTTATTTGGCTGGAATTCTGCCATATATTTAAGGAAACCAGAACTGACTGCCAACACACAGTGTCTTTGCTCGTTCACAGAAGAGATCTTTTTAACAGCTAAGATTGTATTATTGACAAAGTCATAGCAAAACTTCACCTAGAACTTCAACTTGTGGTGTCTTGTCACTGTACCTTTTTGCAGTACACAACCAAATGTAATCTCTGAACAAACAACTACCTAGAGTGACTAACAATTCAGTGAAGTTTGGTTATAAACTGAAGTTTCAGTAACAGTCATGTAACCATTCCTTTCCGTTCTCGCGTGTCTTAGGTCTGTGCTTGTAGACAGAACTATGAAAACAGAACTGAATGCCAAATTACATGTGCAATCTGGAGTATAGAAGTGCACCGAGTCAGGACTTTCTGGCTTGCTTAAACTCAGATCAGATTTTATCCTGTGATATTTTACCTGAACATGACTTCCCTCTCAATTGTAACTAGTCAGGTTTCAGGAATGATTCATTTTAGGAATATTCCATTTCACATTAACCTCATGTTTGGAAATGCTTAAGACTTTTGGCCCCATCCACCCTGCTGGATTCTATGCTAGCAATAAGGCTTTAACAAAGACTCGGGAGCAGTCACAATGCCTCAGTGTGAAAGTGGATGTGAGCATAAAAGCAAGTAACTGTCTCAGAGACCTTCTCACAGTAACAGTACCTTGACCACACGCTGTGATCAGGGTAAATTCTGCTACATAATTCTAAAATGTCTTTTCAAATTAAAATAGCAGGCAACTCAAATTTTCAAAATCCAGTTTGGTAAGAAGTACTGGATTACTTGAACAGGGTGTGGTTTCAAGTCTGTAATATCCTGATCTTTGAAGATGATTTGCATTAATCCGCTGCACAGTGAGTAGCGTAATCTTCTGTGAACGTGGTGGCAGCGACTCCAGATTTATCATCTTCCAGAAACTCGACATCTTCTGCCTTGCCATCTGCAGCAGCTTGAACCTGTTCTCCTGCCTGGACATCTTCAGCTAGATGGACAGGGCCTTCTGCCTGTCCCCCCGTGTACGTGGGAGTGCTGTACTTCATAAGAATAGTCTTAAATTGTGCCAAGGGCGCATTTGTGCGAACTCCCATAGGATCAAAGTGGGTTCTACTTACTCTGTAGCCAGCTTCAGAGAGATAGTATAAGAACTTATTTAACCTAAAAAAAAAATAAAAAAGAATTCATTTAAAAAGAAGGTAATGCTAATAAGCCTGATTTAATACAAGTGTTGTATCAATTCTCATAATAATATAAGATTGGAACTTAAATGAAACTCTTACTTTGGCATGTTCATTCCTTTAATACTGTGTCTGTGGATATTGTAGTAAAATGCAGGGTGTTCAGCACTGTTCTCAGATTTTTGTCGCTTTGCTGTGTTTCGAATCACTTCCTCACTTTTTCTTTTTCCTGGACCACAAAAAATGCCAGTGAAACTAGTGAATATTCAGTAAGAGCACAGAAAATGCCAAAAGACAGTACACAGAAAAAAAGGCACGTAGCAACTAGATCTCTGTGTCTGCTTTTATAAGCTAGTATTTTACAGAGTTAAAATCGAGCCTGAATTTAATTAACGTGCCATTTTCAATATTAACAAATGAAGTTAAGTAGGCTTCATGGAGTATTTAACATTCTGCTTTTACCAGTAAATATGATGCTGGATGAAGATAAAGTAAAATCAGTATTCAGTGGGGAAAAACCTCCTGAGTACTGGTATTGTTAAATAAATAAAAAACCACCAACAACACATGAACACTAGGTTGGCTTAGCCATCACTTAAACTATAGTTTAATTTGAAACTGCTACAGCTACACCAAAATTATCTACTTACCATGTACCAAGGAGGATTCTGCAGAAGTATTTGGTGTTTTAATATATACGCCACATTCTTCTAGAATACAATTAAAAGTCAAAATTAGTTCTACTGTTAGACAGTAAAATGGCAAAATGCCTCGGTTAAGCAGAAAGAAATAATACCACATTCTGGCCTAAAGAAGGAAATTAGCAAGAAGCATACATATGGGTAACTTTTATATACAACTCAGTAACTTGAATTTAGAGGGAATATTCAAAATATGATTTCACGTAATAAGTAGAACAGCGTTCCCATGCAGAAAGCCATTTTTGGCACACTGATACCACAAAGCCAGTTCTTTTTGTGAACAGTCTGCCATTTTTCTTACCCTGTTTGTTCTCTTCATAAGGACTATGGGTAGAAAAATGTTTTAAAGTTGTGCACTCTGCTTCGCAAACTAATGTCTTCAGAAGTGGCTGAGCTTCATCCAAACCATACTGGACAGCCTCAAACAGCATTCTTCTGAGGAATCCAGTGTTAAACAGTGCTCCTGACCTACGAAATGCAAGACAAGTGAAAAGTTAAGACTTCTTAGTGAAAGCAAAAAAGTTGCTCTAAAGATCTCCTGCCCAAATTGATCAGCAATTACATTACACTGAAGTGCTGCATCAGGCTGTGTTCTTAAATTAGTCATTATGAAGTGCATTGTTTGCAATGACCATAATATTGGTCTCGTTAAAAAAAAAAAAAAAAACCTCAGGATCTCAATGGTAATTTTATTTCTGCCCTACTATATTGAAGAAATCATTTAAACCCCACAAGAAAGGCACTGTCAATTATCAACCATTTGTAATACTGCTTTGAAATGGTTAAAAGACTTAAAAAGATTTATTCTTGTTTCTCACAAGAGAAAATTCTAAGTATTAATTATCAAGTACTGTACTATTATTTACTGCCGTCAGCACAGGCAAGGATTTACTAAATAAATTCTCTACAAGTATAGAATAATAAAATCTTGCTTAACATTTGGCAACTAGAGGAACACACAGCCAGGTTCCGTGCAGGATGTATTGTCTAAGTTGCACTGCATGTGGAAATTTAAAGCAAGTTTGTTATTGTTTATTAACTGGTTTGAACACAAATTCAAATCAATTAAATGTTTCCTGAATTCCTCTCAATTGCTGCACCTCCTTTTGTAGTGCTAAAATATCCAGCAAACTTGCATTTTTATTATATGACTGAACAGCTGACCTCCAGAGGTCCTTCCACCCTAACTTATCCTCTGATTCTATATTGTGTTCTGGACTTACCAGAGAGGACCAAGAACTACTGCTGTCTTCCCAGGCATACTGCCATGACAATCACAAGGCAGCTGCTGGTAAGGGTTTTCTACAATAGAAAAACAGGATTTAAGTCGCTTTTAAATATTCAGCAATGCCTACTTTACTGGAGAGAGATGACATAGATAGGAAGTAGTAGCTTACTTCAGTGCAGGTATTTGGAAGGGCAAGCAACAGCAGAAGTGTGACACCATTCTCACTTCTGCCAAGCAGTGCTTATGAGAATTTAGTGATTGATGACTTGATCTTTAATCATTATTAAAACATCGAAGAAAAAAAAAAAAGCAGCCATACAACTTCCTATGTTTCTTGGCAGATTTCAAGTAACAAGGAAATTATTAGCCTTCCTACTTAGTAACTGTCCAGGTTAACAGTAAATACCAACAACAAAAACTTCAAACATCAGCCAATTACATCTACCAAATACAGCCCACCTACAAGTTTTCTAAGTTGTAGTCAGCTTGCTTGCAAGTAAGGCATGAGGTAAACAATTCATCTTTATTACAACACTGTACTTATCAGTTACTCATTTCTGTTCTTAAAACTTCATCAAGCTTTTAAAAATCTTTTTAATAACAAGCTCATGGCATGCTCTTACACCTGCCTTTGAGCAGGGCAGTCAAAACCACCACCAGTTAGTAGTTAGATATGCAAGAACCCCTAACTCTGAAACAAGATTTTTCCATTTATATTCATCCAGAAAACTACAATCTGGCTAGTAGCTACCTCTTAGCTTAATTTTTGTTTCCTACATCTGCTAACTCATGTATAGAGACAGCCCCCAGTCGACTTATAACCTAGAGGCTGCCTTCATTTACCACTAAGTGTTAGACGCATTACAGGAATGCTGCATGCCTTTCTACCACACCTGCCGAGATATTTCCACCAGGCATTTACAGATATTGCCCAAGGTCAGGCAGAATACACCCTCATCTGAGGGGAAAGTGACACTGTTTAATTCCCTACATTTTAAGGTAACCGAAAGGAGCAGTAGAAAAGCAATCTGACACCAAAATCTATCAAGCTGCCACTGTACAGAGGAAATGAACAGTAGCCAAGACTGTCCCACTCTTCACGCCCTTTACTGAAAGGACAGATCCATGGGCATATCAGGCATCCCAAAAGCTACAGCTAGTTGGAATACGTCCTGTCTGGAAACAGCAAAATCCATGCAGACAACTAATCTAACCCAGTACTATAAAGCAGATACTGTAGTATTAGAAATACCTTCTCCTTCATATAATACACTCATCACCAAATTAAATGGAATTATTACTTTACTAAAAGGATGTAAATATAAACAAGGCCTAAACAAGCACAAAAGGGAGAGACAGGAATTGGATCTTCTAGAAAGTGCAAGTAAAAGCCATTTACCTTCTACCATATTACCCTCTTTCTGAAAAATTCTCTCTTCGCACCACTGGCAATGGATGAGGTATCTTATTTTCTTTGCTGAATCATCCGCAGGAGATGGTCCCCTTAAAACTCTGACCACCACTAGAACAAAATGTTCTAGAGCTACTGCGAGTAAAACTTCAATGCCTTTGTTACAGCGAGCTGCAGCTCTATGAAGGAAAAACAAACACAAAACCAAACGGTACTGAATTCAGCAGATTGACATGGACACTTGAACCTGCCAAAAGATTCTCGAGCTCATCCACCTTCTAGAAAGAGATACTAAAGATCTGAGAAACTGATCAAGAGAAAGCATTATTAAGTGCCTGGTTTTGTTTACTTGGTGTAAGGTTAAGCAAATCCTGTTTTACTTCCATGTATCACATCTAGAAATATTAGTCTGCCATCTGCATTATCTTTCTATCCAAATACCTACCTATTGCCAGGATATTGTAACAAAAAATATAAACACACTAAATGAAAATCCAAGAAAGCAGACACGTAGAGGGACACACCTGATGGTAAATCATCGAATGTTAATTAAGTAAGAAGGTAGGTGAGCAGTTCCTGAATAGGTAAGCATTGAGGAGGAAGAAGAAATCTTTAGGGGAGTTGGAACATGTAACCCAAAACACAATTAAAACTTTGCTTGAGCAGCATATCTGTATCCAAGAATATTCTACAGGGAACAACTTCACTTATATAGGGAGATGAAGTCTAAACATGCACAGGTCAGCATTTGCACTCTGGCATTTTGAAGACCACTGTGCACTTTATTTCCTCCCCACCTTTCCTGAGCAGTTGTCCCATCCTCTTGCCTGTATCTTTTTTTTTTTTTTTCTTCCTCAGTTAGGGACCAGGTTTTATGTCTTCATTTCTTTAATAGACTGAATTTACTGAGAATATCTATATGCAAATGACAATTTTACGAGTTGGTAATTAAATAAATCTTAACTTCAAGCAGAAGGATCTGAAGCGAATATCAGTTTCCATTAATACAAGCCTAACTGTAATGCTTAGCTAGAAGCCATTCAAGCAGCTTAATTAATATTTTAAAGTCTCATGCACCACTAAAATGACAAAAAATTGACAAAGGAATAAAACAGTTTGCAGATAGGCAAGTCAGGGTATTACTTGGTGAAACACTGGCACAGGACGCCCCGAGATGTGGTAGATGCCCCATCCGTGGAAACATTCAAGGTCAGGTTGAACAGGGCTCTGAGCAACCTGATCTAGTTGGAAATGTCCCTGCTTATTGCAGGGAGGTTGGACTAGATGACCTTTAAAGGTCCCTTCCAACCAAAACTATTTTATGATTCTCCTTTTTACTTTACCATCCCTCTCCACCACGAAAAAAACCCTCCCCACCATCCCAAACCCCTACCCTATTTATGCATTTTCACCTTGCCCAGTCTTTAAGTTTAAAATTTACATTAACCCATAGCAACACAAAAAATAAGAAACATTAATTTTGCATTAAGAAGTCTGGGTTTTAGAATTAAGGAATTCTGGAAACTATGAACACGCTACAGCAGAAGTCTCAAGTTTTGCATCACTAATACTTTTCTAATAAATTTCTACCAGAATTTGAGCTAATTTGTTGTAACAGTACCTTGTCACAGCAGCAATTACTATTCTGGCTGCCAGTTCCTTATAGTACTCTGTTCTGACAATGTTACATCCATAATGACGCAGGGCAACGTGTTGAGCCTTTGCATACAGAGAACTGATGTCTGTGGACGTCAATGACACAATTCCAAGATTTCTCACATTTCTAAAGGCAGAATCCAGATAATTCACAGAAGTTCCGAAGGGGTCCAAATGGCTGAAAAGAAAAGAAGTCCCACTAAATATCTATAGAAGCTCAAGAGTTTAGCTTTAATCTCAGGAAAACACAATTTGATAAGCTTTACCTATGGTCATATTTAAAACAAAACGAGAAAAAGGGACTAAAATTTACAGCACACTTCTCATTAATTACTCTGGAATACTTCAGTATCAAATTGCAAGAGCCAGGGCAGCACTACGCTGGAGAAAACCACATTGCCACAAAGCCAGCAAGTAGGTTTTTGGTGGGGTTTTTGGGTTTTTTTGTGTTTTTTTTTTTTTTTTTGCATCCTGACCCACCGATTAATTCAAGTTATAAGAACATTGGCCTGATGCTTACCTTTAGCCTTAAAACAAAGGGAAACTTCTAAAACCAAAAATATCTTCAAATGTATTAATTACAGTTTATGTACTAAATAATTAGCCTGATTTTCAGCCTGAATACCTTTGGCCTAATTAGCTGAGATCTACATGTTAATCAATACCAAAAAAATCCAATTGCTTGTTTTGATGTCTGTATAGGTTTTGAGTGCATGTATCTATAAACCCAAATTGGAAGAATCAGCCTACTTTCATTGAAATTGAATATGCTGCAAAAAGGATTAAAACAAGAGATGCACTAAAGTCCTACACAATGACATGCAAAGGTGTGAATTTTAAACTAATTAGAAGTTTTAAGGAAAAAAAAAGGATTAATTTGATATTTATTAAGCAGAAGTTATACAAAAAATACTTTGGCTTAAAATTTTCATGTACATTTAGAGTCCATTCTGGATGTCAGAAGGGCTTTTCCCAGCAATTTCTAAAACATTTAAGATTAATGTTCTCCTCCCATACCACTTCTGGGACAACAGAATTACATTTAAAATACTGTGTAACCATTGGTTGCTTCTTTTGTTCCAGCTTCCCTAAATAATCATACACTGGGAGATGGAGTGTGCCATTACCAAACCACAGAAAATTATTAACAGAAACATTCAACACTTACATAAAATCAAATGATCTCAAATGCATTATAACATTGGCATCCATTTTTGTCACCTCTATGGTGTCAGTATTTTCTTCTCCATCTCCCATAGCTTCATCATTGTCTTCTTCCTTAGTGTTGAGTTTCACCTTCATTTTGTTTAAATGGCAGTTTTCCTGAATCATTGTCACAGAATTTTCATTACAATCATTAATCGTAACTTTCACAGAACTTCTGAGATGCTTTGCCCATTGTAATCCCATTATACCTAAGGAAAGACAGAATTGTAACTCCATGACAGAATAAGGAGTTGGCTTCTGGGTCGCTGAACTTGTTAAGAAAAAAATTCATCCTTTTAAATGTTTAAAATACAGAAGTGTGTGTGATGCAAATTTTGCCATGTTCCTGCAAAAATCTGTTGGTGACCTTCTGCCTCAGCACAGAGTGACAATGGAGTCTGTAATGGGACAGTCTATTTGTCACCTTCTTATATGATAATTGGGGTTATAGACCAAAAGGCTTGTGATTTTTGCAGCAAGCTGGACCCACAATCTGCAGAAAAGCCCCTTGGCTTGTTTAACACTCCAGAGTAAGAGACAGACTCCTGTGACAGCCCAATAGTAAACCACAAACACGAGAATAGGTACAGTGAACATTTTTAGGCTGCCTCCAAACATTTAGTGCTGACTCCCGATTTCAGCTGAAAAAAATACAAGCACTACTTAGCAACAACTAAAACAATGTGTTATCAACATTGTTCCGATACTAAATCCAAAACACAGTAGCTACTAGGAAAAAAATTATTCCAGCTGAAACCAGGACACTGACATCGGTAGTTAAGGCTAAGATTACATTGCAGAAGTGCAGGGCACAATGCACGTATGAAATCTGGCCTAGTATAGAATGGTGATAAATTCATTATCAGGAATTTTTATGCAAAATTCTGAGCACTTACTGCTGTTCTCAACTATGACCTTAAGCTGGTTGATAATGAGGCAGCAATCCAGGTCTCTTCAGATTTTTGTTCCAGATGGTTAATAGACACTAATATAACTACTTTACATTTAGCTCATGTTCAGAAATTTTGTAATCCATTACGAGGCGATTCTGATAAAGAAGCTTTGATTCATCACCATTTTTTAAACCACAGGTTGATTTTACAGCCAAATTCCACAGCCACAAGAGATTTGTGACCTTGGATGCAAGTTAGGAAGATGCCATGGACAGTAAGGCAACTGATTTTAAGGAGACCACTAAACTTTGATTTAATATTATTTACAGTCTTTTTAAAAGGCCTAATACCGGCTCTTGATGGCTGTTTTTTTTGTACGCAAGCTAATCACTGCCTGCCTAAGGAAGAAAATTATTGGAAACCTCACATTATTTTTGAATACACGATACCAGTTACAACTGATTTCTGCAGCTTCATACTATTGGATATTAGACAAAAGATTAAAGAAATTGACTTTACCAGTGGCACCAAAAGCATCCAGACATTCTATTGGTTTGCGTTCCTCAGCTAGAACGGCTAGTGCGCAGAATATCAATTGCCTTGGAAATAAAAAAGAATAGTCATAGTAAGTAAGTTGAGAAAATATTTTTCATTCCTTTTCCTTATTTATTTGCCTTGAACATAATACTAGAACATTTAAGCTAAACCCTACCTTTTACACAGAAGAATGATAAATCAAAAACCTCAACTACCCTTGAAAGTTTAATTCTACAGCAGGATATTCATAAGGTAAGATCTATGAATCAACTTAACAGCTACGCAAACACTGGAAAAAGTGGCTAGCATTCGAAAGTAGATAGTGTTTTTCTTACTTTCCCGGCACAATCCAATACTACCCTACTAATGGCTCTGTATTTAAAAACACGTCAGAAATTACTGTAGAGCAATGGAATTCCACTGTGTTGAGGAACAGGCCTTGTTTTTTTGACATAGCCATAACCTGAGTTGCAATGGCCTTCTTCAGAGGTGTGCCTTAGCTTTCACGGATGTATCTGAGCTAACTTCAAATCTGGAAGCTCAAATATTAAAAGCACTGTGAACACGAGGGGTCAGCACAGGCTGAAGCTCAGTCCCATGCGCACCTTTCAGTTGTGCTACAGACACTATTTATGACTCTCCTTAAAAAAAAGAAAATGTTTCTTCCTTCACCTTTTTTAATGCAAATAAAGAGAAGACACTTGAGAGAATCTGAGTCCCAAGAGAAAAAGGCCTAAAATATTAAAACTGTAAATTATAGATACACTGCTGTTCGGTTAGAGGAGAGAGAGCAGTGACTATCCATAGTATCTTGTGGAAATTCACAGAAAAACACTTTAAGCGTATACAGTGAAGTTAGTTTGCAAGTGTGCTCTTCTTTTCAAATCCTGTTCTTTTCCATAAACTACTCATTACATAAAAATACTTAATTGCTTCACAAATGACAGTATTTCCCACATTGTGTTCCTGGGTTTAAATATTATTTCTCTAGAGTCTTCTGATGGAAAACTTTCACAAATTAACAGAAATTATCCAAGCAGATAAATTAAAAGCACTTCCAAACAGAATTCTTATACCAGGAACTGTATCTTATTACTCACCAATGCCATTTGCCCACCCTTTGAGCAAAAGTTTCACAGGGTTAGCCTTACAAAACACACAAGCATTTTTCACTACAAACTCACCACTCCTCTGGTGCATCCCCAAACTCCCCGTTTGCTTACCTGTTGAGTTTCATTTTAGGATTGAAATAGGAATCTGTTTTCTGAGGTGTGGAATAGTTGGGAAGAACCTGCACATCTGTGGCCGACTCTTTCAGCACTTCATGAGAAGACTTGGGAGCAATAACTAAAAGAAAGTAATTGCGGTGGAAGGTAAGAGTTTTTGAGAATTGAAATTAATATTAGCACATTTGGTAAAATGAATCGAAAATCTGCTCTCATATAGCAAGAAGTCTGGATTATGCAGTAATCCAACTGGCACACATGTATCAGTTAACTAGTATGTGGAGAGAAAAAAAGGGAACGATTTATCTTCTAGTCCCAAAAGTGGCAGATAAGAATCAAGCTCTACCACAATTTTCTTCCCATAAAGCACAAGATTTGTTTCTCAGTTGGGCTCCTACGTATCCACTGAAATTAAAGAAAGCAAGCCCCTGAGCCTGAGGCTTAGCACACTTGTTTTGCATGTTCAAACATAATACATTGCTAATTAATTAAAACCCTATTAACATAGTCCTGAATGTGTATCAGTGAACTGCAAAAATCCCTCAAAATCCTTGATCTAATCTCTGTAAGTTATCAAACAGCTTCATGAAATGTGTGTAGACAGCACAAGCATAGGGTAATTTCAGCACTTAAGCTTTGTATAAAATAGTCCATGGGAAAACAAGCTTTCTGATTTGACAGCTGTAAACACATGCTGTTTCCTCTGAGTGTTTATCCCCAGTCTAACAGTAGCAAAATTTACCCAGGAATGACCAGGAAAAAATTTTGAGCTGTCAACTAGATACTTCAGCACTCAGCCTGCCTATGGCTCAGTGCTTTCAAATACACAGATTGTATCACTGTGAGCTGTTCTAACATTTGCTCCTTGTTCACAGCCCCAAAGTGTTGATGAAGTGCCTCCAAAGCACAAAATATTGGACCTCTGGATTTCTCCTCTCCCCATGAGAAAAATAAACCACATACATTTTGTTGAAAAACGACAAATGGGTCATTCTTTACTGACAGCTCTGAAGGGAACGATACAGAGATTAATATATTTCACATCACAGTCTCTGTTTAAGTTAAATGTATGGAATATATACCACTATCACTTCTTAGACTTGCCAACCAATCCCTAGACACTAAACTACTCCTACAATGCATATTGGCAACAGAAAGAAGTGTGACTTTCATAGCTCCCAGTCTCATCTTCATTATACTTGTCCTGGTTTCAGCTGGTTAATTATCTTCTTAGTATTGTTTTGGATTTAGTACAAGAATAATTTGATAACACATATTGTTTTAGTTGTTGCTAAGTGATGCTTATATTAAGTCAAGGACTTTTTCAGCTTCCCATAGAAGTTGAGAGGGAGCACAGACAGGGCAAGCTGGCCAAAGGAATATTCCATACCGCAGATGTCATGCTCAGTATATAAATGGGCATTGGCCAAGGTGGGGGAGGAATCTACAATCGCTGCTTGGGACAGGCTGGGCAATCAAATCATATCACCTGATCATCAGGTGGCAAGAGCAACTTGTGATGTATCGCTGTATTTTGTATATTCTTTTACCATTATTGTTATTATTCTCTTCCATTACAATTCTATTAAACCATCTTTACCTCAACCCACAATCTTCCCCCCATTCCCGTCCCCATCCCTTTTTTCCCTACCCTACTGGGCGTGGGGTGGGGAGTGAGCCAGCAGCTGCATGGTCCTAGCTGCTGGCTGGGGTTAAACTACAACAATATTGTATTTAAATAAAATCCATACGTCTACACAGAGATGGTGAGAAAAAATCAGACCAATTTTCAACAATAACAGTCCGGGCTGTAGCAAAAAAGACTTAATTTTCACACACCAGCTCATCAATAATGTGCTTTTGACTTGACAGCTGTAGAGAACTTACAAAAATAAAGAATTGGCATTCCAATCATTTAAAATGCTTCCAATCTAGTTTATACAAGTTTAGGAAAAAAAAAAAAAAAAATCTAATTCTGGAGAAAGTCAGACAGAGTTGTTATTTACCAAAGAACTACGGACAGCTCTGTCATGACTCTCCAGAAACAAAAAAAAGTAATCTTGTTTTGTGAATCCATGCTGATGCAGTTTGGATAAAAAGCAAAGGATTTTTATATTGCAGCTTTATTTAAGACTGATTTACAAACACACACAGCCAAATACACAGGCATTAAATTCTCTATACAGATTTTGTTTCATGGAATCCACGTCTTCCATTCTTTTGGAGACAGAAACCTACATTTACATTTAACTAATTGTGAACTGAATATTATTTAACAGTAAGAGCAGAGTAGCTGGTCAATGCAGAGACTAAATCACAGCACCGCTACACCTTTGAGGAAAAAAAGAAAGTCTGACAGATTAAGGGCAGATTTCTCATTAGTAAAGCTAAATCTGTTTTGGAATTTTTCTCATGTCTCTCACCCACATATCATAGTTATTCCATGTGCTAGATAGTATAAAAATATTGAATGTTTTATAGAAGTAAGAACCTACCTGTAATAAACCTTGACTCAGTTTCTCCTTTATTCACATGACGATTAATATGACCTATCATGTCAGTTCTTCGTGTGATAGTTGCTGAACAGATGATACAATGGTAATGGGCACCCATCTTTGAAAATGTCTGTAGAATACAGTGTGTGTAGTTTCAGAATACATAAACACGTTTTAAGTAGAACTATACCTAAATACAGGCACATGAAGAAGTCATCTGTTACCTCTAGTGCACACAAAATATTTTTAATCTATAACCAGAGAGACTGTAAATAATCATACCTGCAGAGCCAGCACAGCGCAGCTGTCCTGCCTCAGCACCACAACCAATTAAACTCTGCCAATACTCCATATACTCAGCACACAAAGAAGGAACTGAGAAGCATCCATTTCCCAGCCTAATGAATCCTTTCTCTCTTCCACACAGAGCTGCTGTTTACTCCAAACCATGACAGTGTTTTATCCACCAAAATAAAGAGAGATACAACTACATTCAACTACCCAAAGGTAGTATATCACATACTTATATACTGGACTGATAAGCTTTTGTTATCCCACACTGGATAGCAAGACATATTTTGAGACTAAGTAGATCACAAAGGTTGCCCTAAATCACCCATTTCCCTCTACTTTGCAGGGTAACACATTTCTGCGATTCAGCATTTTTACCTGGTCTCCAACGAGGTTTGGTTTTACTGGACGACAAGGTAAGTGGCAGATGCACATTCTGTACCCTGGAAAACAAATTCTTGTCACATCACAGTACAGTAAATAAACAGAATGCATATGTCCTATTCCACAAACTCCGATTCAAAATGTTTTAGGGGATAGTCTCATTTAAGAATCCCAAATATTGCCACAAGAGAACAGTACCAATTATGTGATAAACTCACCTTCCACACAGAGAAATTTATCATCTAATTATACTTTATAAATTTTTGAAATCTGAAAAAAAAAATACATACAGGCAATTCATTTTAATCCTACAAAGCTATAGTGAGTGTTCAGGTAGATGTAGTATATAACTCTGTGGTATATATGTGGTATATAACTCTGAAAAGCACTTGTGAGTATTTTACATAAGTACCTGGCTAACAGACTTGAGTAAACACACCTACAAAACATATGCTCTACAGTTTAAAGAAAAAAAAACAAACTCAAACAACAAAAAAGACATCTGCTAGTGCATGCAAAACCAGAACTCCAGTCAGATCATTTTTAACTTTAATCTTGTCAATCTTCTGATTCATCGTTTTATTTCCTGCAAACTCATACACCTAGTTCTTCAAAAACACATACTGCTCACTTACTTTTCCTTCCTAAACTTTCTGTAGGGATTTTAATGCATCTTACATGTAGATCACAGAGTTTATAAAAAACAGATAAAGCTACTAAATACTGATACTAAATAAATACTTTAAGTATTTATCTGAAAGCATGGAATCTTCATGATGAGCCAAAAATGACCACACGTGCGTGTGTGTCTGCTTATTAACAATATAACCAAAACTCTTTTTACACCAATTTTCATTATATACGTATTTTAAATTTTATAGTGATTTACATGACATGCCAAGAAATTTTTTTTTATGAGAAAATGCACAACTGTAACTTTTTTGGCATGTGGAATACAGAGCTATTGTACATTTATATTTTGCATCCCAGGTCAAAATTCATTAAGACATAATATGGTTCTAATTCAGAGCTGGTACCAAGATGCTGAAGTCAAGGGGAAATAAAAAAGATTAAACACAGAACAATGTCCTACATGTCCACAATTTCTTCTAGTATTTACTACTCAAATATGATTGCAATTACCTTCAAATTCAACAGAAACTTTCCAGTGCAAATTCTGAAGGTGACGATGGAGTTTATGACTATAGCAAGCTTTGAATTTCTCCTCAGGACACAATGGACAGCGTTTCTTTTCATCTGAAAATACAAATAAAGAAATAGTATGAGAAACATATGAAATGCATTTACCACTGATGGTAATAGGGATGCATGCTGAGAGAAAAGAGACTGAAGGTATTGCAAGAGATTAATTCCCCAGGGTATATTCTATTTCAAGCAACTACAAACATTAAATTTATGGATTGCCTCTTTCTACTCCATCGAATACAGCCAAGAACCACTATCACTTTAAAAATCATTAACTTCTACAACTTCCAGGTTTGTTTTCTAGTACTTTTTACTCCAGCAAAATGAGGCTAATGCAACTTCTGAAGAGTATTGCAGAATAGCAGAATTTTATAGATGAAGTCTAGAGACTTGCCATGTTTAAAAAAAAAACCACCCAACTCAAGAGGTTAGAACAAGAATCTGTATCCCCCTCCAAATCTTTTAGATAAAACAAGCACCTTGTATCTTTTTAAGCTGAAAAAAAGATAATGTACTTTATGTTAAAAAAAAAACTTTTCTGCTTGGAAATCTTGCATAAGGGACAAAAAAGCAAAGGCAAGATTGTCTGACATCAAAGGTGCTGAAGCACTTGAAGTACTAACCAAAATAAAAACTAGCTATTGGGAGACGTATATTGTAGAGCTGTATGTAGGAATTATGTAACAGAGCATGCATACATCTGCTGCTGAGTCCTAAGAGTGTTGAATGTCAACCTCTCATGCAGAATTTAGCAAAAAAGCTTGTATGTGTTTGCATAGCACAGGATAGATACTGGAATACACCACACAACATGGGGGTCTATAATAGTAATTACTTATCTTAGGCTTGCACAACAGCAAAATTCCTTTTTTATTACTTTTTTATGAGTGGATTAATGTATCCATGCAGAGTCCCCTGCCACTGAAGCCAACAGAGGCAGTCTACAGCTCATCATATAAATCACCAGTGTTCTCTGATGTTGATCAGCCTCTTTTACTGACTGATCAAATACATGAGGTGATGGTAATAAATACAAATCAGTCCATTAACACAAGTGGCAGAAGAAAAAATAATTACTACTGAGAATAGGCAAGGGAATAATGAGTTTCTTATCACTACCATGGATTTACATATAACTTGGCTCAGCAACAGCTACAAGTACCAGACTTATGAGATACTTATGATCTATCTCCTCATCAAAAAGGGAACAAACTCTCCATGTAAGTTTTTGGCATATTTGCTAGTAAAATTAATCAGACATGGAGGTAAGCTATTATTTCCATCAGTGGCCACTCTAAAAGATCATTAAGAAGCAAGAGACATAGGATACAGAGCCTATGTGGACCCTGATGATAATTTTTTTTGATCTGTGAATAAAAAAATAGTTTCAGTTGCGAGGGCTGCCACTGCCAGCACTAAATACATATGTGTAATCAGAGGAAAACTAAAGGTTGCAATAAAAACACTTTGCAGTCTTAAAGCAATCCTCCAACATACATCTGGATCAGAAATGAATACAGGGGGAAAAAAAACCCACTACATCCAAAACGGAATACATATTTAAATGGATATTTAAACACTGCAAAGACAGCAATTAGCTTCCCTGTTATCATGGCACCTGAAGTAAAATAAAAATGAGACTAAGCTACTGATGTATAGCTAGAATTAACAATTTGGTGATCCGTGCACATATTAGGTAACATTAGAAATGCTACAATGCAGAGGAAAAAGATGGGAAGGAATCATTAAGGCCCTAAATGTACTGAAGGAAGTACAACATTTGATAAGCAAGAGAACAAACCATAAAGCTATTTTTTTTTACAAAACCCCCAGCCTTCAAGCATAAATATATGTAGTGGGTTAAAAATAAAGACTAAGAAAAATTGTAAATACCTGTAACATGAAGAACTGTGTTCTGGGATACTGCCACGGTAAACTCACCTTCTTTCAGGTCAGCTAGTTTCTCTAGATCAGCAAGATGTCTTTGAATTGAAATATGTTTCTCTAAAAAGCAGAGATATTTAGAAGTTAAACATTCTTAGTTTAAAGATTATTTTTAGTTTACTGCTATTTTTCTATGCATCATTTCAAATCTAACACTATTAGAGAATGACTATAGTACCAATTGTACTAGGAATACTTGCTTGTATCCCTTAACTTCCATGGTAGAAGGAATGACTGCAAAATTCATCCCCAGAATGGTTCTTTAATAAGATCCATATGTTTCCATATATTTCTACTTTCTTTTTAATGCTGACACACATCAAATTTCTCAAATTGGAAAGACTTTCATTTGAAAAAAAACAGGCTGAAAAGATCACATCACATTCCATTCACTCCTGATTCTACTGGTCGGCATTGTTAGTGAATGCAAATCATGCACAAAGCAGTATAAAAACAACCTATGAACTGTCTGTCAAAACTAAAATATCAGCTAGAAGCAGACTAATTGTAAGTAACAAATACTAACTGCAGAGCCAGGATATATTAAATTCTGACACTCTTCCCCCCCTCCCTCCCCTTAGGAGACTGTTTAACCTTTAAACTTTACCTCCTGATTTTTCAACGTATCAGTCAATAGGAACAGTGGAGAATTTGCTAAAACCAAGAGAATTAGCTTATCCTATATATCAGCTTTATTGGTTTCATCACACAGAACATCCCAGTTTACAGTAATACTGATTCTGTAGCAACTATAAACCTTTATAATGTTTTTACAAGATTAGTCTTCAGGTTTTCTTATGTGAAGCAAAGATAGTGATTAATCAATGTGCTCAAGATACAGAGGTGAGATTTTAAGCTAGGGTTAAAAACAATTCCTAGCATTTTCTGCACTAAAATAGATTTTCTTTCCTCTCTGTGGTCTTTTGCATCAGAGCCTGATGTAGCTCATACCTCATCTACCCCGACTTCTGTCACTGTGTACGTGCTAATTTCCACAGTGATTTCTGGAAATGTTGGTAAGGGGGGAAAAAAGCATCTAATTTGAAAGATATTTCCAATGCCATTGGAAAATATTTTATTCAGATGCATGGGAAGAAGTATCCGTACCTCTCAGATGTAAGGAAAAAGAGATTTCACACATTCCCTTTACCTTCCTTCACCACTATTTCTACCTTTTCTCTTCCTTTCCTCAAGCACACAACATAAATAATCTTAACAGTTTTTTAGCAAACCTCTTGGATAATCAGATGATGCATCCAAAATGTTGCTATCGGATTCCCTTGTGGATTCTTCCTCAGTTCCTTTTTCTTCAGTTTCCAATTCGGATCCAGTAACTTTCACATCCAGGTTGTTGCTTTTCACTTTTCCAGAGGCAACCACACCATCTAAAGAAAATCAAACAAAAACCACTAAAAGTGTTGTTGATGTAATGGAGTTGTACAAATATGTTCATTTGTTTCCATTTATTTGGTGCTTCTAACAGGCAAAAATGACTACAAGTGTGAAGGAGAAAAAAAAAAACCAAACAAAACCAGCATGTTGGAGAATAATATGAGATTAATTATCACTCATCCTTAGAAAACCACTGTGAAATAACGCCATCCTGGACAGATGAAACTATTCACCCATCTGGATCATCAGATGTTAAAGTTAACTAAATAGTATTTCCATGTTATTTTCTGGCAAAATGCAGCCCTAGCAAGACACAAAGCACACAAGGAGGCAGTCCAAATACTCTTAGCAATATACTAGCAGCTAAGAAAATTTGAAAACAGTTTAGAATTTTTTATGACTAGTTGAACAATCTGAAAAAAGGAGGGGCCTAAGGAAGGAATTTGCTACCATTAGGGGCCATGACGATGGTTAAGTGCTGGTGCCATCAGCATTTGCAAATGAATGACTTCTCCGGGGGTAGCACAGAGATGGGCCTATTGAATAATTGAGGGCTGAGTGGTTAGGCAAGAAAATTACAAAAAAAAAAATAAAATCAGTCAAGTGTTGGACTTGGGGACAAAACCTAATTTTGGTTTCACATATGAATAGATGGTCTTTCCTCACCAACTGACATCAGGAAATAAGGATGAAGAAAGCCCCTGCTAGGCCTGCATATTGAAAGCTATTGCCCCTGATCCCCCAAGCTTCAAAGGGACATGGCAGAACTAGTTAAGTTTCAAAAAAGCGTGACAAGAAATAACAAAGCTATGGCATTACTTCTTGGCTAACAGAGCAGGCTATGACTACATGCAGAGAGAGCACACAACTCAAACATTCACTGCCTATTCCAACACAAAAACTAGGATGCACCGAACGGAGGTATCAGCCTGAAATTCAGAGCAGAATGTTCTCTACCCAACCTACTGTTAACGCTGCAGACCTCCCTGCCACAGGCTGCCGTGGATGCCACAAGTCTACAAGTGCCAAAATAAAAATTTTACGGAAGAGAAATCCACTTGGGATTTTAAATACGAAAACATGACCTTTGGCTCAAGAAAACAGTAACAAACTTTTGTGTTTGAAGATATTCCTGGACGATGCACTAATGTATGGTTGCTCTGTTCTCCTAGTCTTCCTTAGCCATCTACTCCTGGCCACTACTTAAGACAGAATAAGGGCTGGAAGGATCTTGCTGCAGTTCTCATGATTCCCCTAGGGTCTTTTGTTTGTTTGCTTTTGAACATTGCAGTTGGATACAAATCTTTCCTATTATTAAAAAAAAAAACAAAAAACCAACCCAAAAACAAAAAAAAACCCCACCAAAAACAGAAAGAGGAAATGGAAGTAGTACCTGAAAACAGGGGTTAGACAAATGGTTTAGAAAGACAGGACCACAGAGTAAAATTATTCTGCCTACCTTAAAATATATCAAGACCACCATTGCTACTCAGAGAGCACTACTGTAATTCACTCAGGTCTATTTTTAAGCTAACAACTCACCTAAGACAGACTTGTATTTTCTGCTTAGTTCCCAATTAAAAAGTTGCAAGATGCCTGGTGATACTTTCTACGCACTTTATTAATAGAAAAACAGAAAGAAAATGAAGAAGGAAAAAGATTTTTGGCAAGAAATCCATAAGAAGAACCATGATTGACTATGACTACATGTGCTGAGAGAAAAACTGTTAACACTGTTACAAAAATGCATAGTGAGAGTATAGCAGTGGCTGAAGTCCACCAGTTGGACTGTATGCATCTTCAGAGCAAGTGATAAGTTAAAATGCTTGAAAAAGCGAGAATACATACATGTACATATGGTTTGTAAATACATCTACGTGAAGGGAGATAAACTTTCACACGAAATGATTACGAAAACCAGGTGGTTACCAAAGCATGATTGCAAGATTTTTAAAATGCCCATCAGGAATCACGGATTATGCACAAACATAATAGCGCTTTAAAAAGCCTAATATTTTTTTTTTTTTTTTTTTAATTAGAAGAGTCAGTTCACTTCACCTACAAGACTGCGTAGCAAATAACTAGCATCAATGCCACATTTGGCGCGGCTGGGAAACTGGCACAACCAGTTTAAAACACATTTAACAGAAAATACTGAGGAGAAAACGTACGGGGCAGAGACGGCATGGCACACACCGCATCCCCATCCCGCCTCCAACAGGCCCCCGTTTGCAACGGGACCTCGTGGGCCGCGGTTTGGAAACAATAAAAGATCATCACCAACGACAACTAAAAACCTCGTTAGATTTCGAAGGGAGGGAAGGGGCGACGCAAGTCCCGGGTTTCGCTGTTTCGCGGCTCCCCGAGCGCGGAGGGAGGCGCCGGGGCCGCCGCCAAGGCTCAGCCCCCGGGCCGGGCCGGCCCGCCGCGGGCTGCACGTGCGGCCCCCTTCCACACAGAGCCGGGTAGAAGAGGGGGAACACCGGCCTTCCTCCACCTCGCTGGGGTTTCACGGCGCAGGCGGAGGGAGAAAGGAGAGGGCGCGAAGGCGGCTGCAGGCGCCCGGCTGTAAATTCAAACCCTCACAGGATTGTCTCTCAAGGCGCTTCTCCTGCGCCTCCGCATGGCGCCCGCCCGCAGCATCTCCCGCGCAGACCCGGGAAGAGAGGCTACAACCGGACCGGTCCCCTCGGAGGGGGACGGAGGGCCTGGCTCCCGCCACACCGCCCGCCCGCTCACGGCCCCCCCCGCCACGCGCGGCCCTCACTGAGCGCTGCGGTCTCGCTGCTGCTTTCGGGGTTCTCCTCATCGTCGCCCTCCCGCCCCGGCTGCCTCTGCTCAGGGGACAGCCGCGCCAGCGAGGCCTCCGCAGCCTCCTCCGCTGCCATCTTCTCCGGAGAAAGCCCGGTGGCGGGGGAAGGGAAGAGAGTCGAGGCAGAAGGACGCGGCGCCGTACCCACACGCCTCTTCTTTGAGAGGGGAGGGCGGGAAGACACGGCGGGGGCGGCCCAGCACGTACGGCGCGAAAGGAGGCGGGCCTGTACCGCCTACATTTCCCAGAGGGCCGCGGGGCTCCAGCTCCGGGGGGGGCCGGGCCTTGCCCAGCGCGCTCCGCGGCGGGGAGGGGCCGGAGACGAGACAGCGGGTTGGGGTGCGGTTGCTCGGGAAGTCCCCGGCCCGAAAAAGGGGCCGCGTCTGGGGGCTCCCGTGGGGCCCCTCCACCAGGACCGTCTTCCTTGAGGCTGCCCGGCGCGACGCGGTGGGAGGTGCGGAGTCGCTGCCGGCTTCGGCGGGAAGGTGCGCCCGAGCTGTCTGGCTGTGAGGTGCGGCCGTCCCTGTGCCCTCCTGCCGGGGAGGGGGGTCTGTGTGTGAGGGAGAGGGAGAGCTGGCAGCTGCCAGGCGGGGTGGGGGAGGCCGGCCGGCCTGTGCTCTGAGGGGCTCCGGCGGTTCCCCCCTGTATTTGCCCTTTTTTCACGCGTGGGGGTGGGGGCAGGAGGCCGCTGCCCCTGTGGTCGTGGCGGAGCAGCAGTTCTTTCGGTGACTTCAGGCGGCCCGTGTTGAGGGCTGCCTTAAAGAGCCGTGTGTTTATTTAGTCTTCCCTGCTTTATGGCTGAGCTACTTCTGCGGCTTATCTGTGTAGGCAGTTGACCTGTACTCTGGAAAGTCGCCTCCAGAACTTCGGGAGCTTCTGGTGAAGCTTTCGTACAGCTGTCTTAAACCTCTTGTTTGTGGTAGGCTCGCAGGACTAGTGTGTGTGGTGGTTTAGCTGTTACGAGATGTCACGATATTGCCTCCACCCCAGGGGAGGTGGGGGGCGGAGCTAAGGCGAGAGTTACATAGTTGGAACTGCTTTAAAACTTGACGGCTGAATGACTAAGTGTTAAAGGATGTTTGCCTCTATTATTCTGGTATGTTTGCTGGTACAAAATGTGTGTCTCTGGAGCAGATGGTAAAGTAACTGCCATCCTTTTTTTTTTCTGTGAAGTTCTTTTAGCAGCGAGATGTGAATAATTAATTCTGTTGAAATCTGCTGTGGATCTCTAATGAGAAAACAGAAGAAGAGTATTAGAGTATTTCTTCACTCTGCAGTTAAATTTTATTTTTCTACCAGCTGGAAATAAAAACTTGAAATAAATAATAATGGCAACACTGTTTTTCTTAGGATTTGAAGATGTCCAAAAAGAAACTGAAGAAACTAACTGGAAAGGAAGACTGTTTGGATGGCCGGGATGACAAAGTAGGAGCAGCTGTATCATGACTATTATCATTATTTTAATTCAACCCCCCACATTCAAGAGAAGAGCATGTATTGTTTAGTAATCTTGTGATAGAAGGATGAGTCAAATTTAAAGTTGGGGTCACTAAGAACAGCAGGAGGGTTGAATTGGCCAGATAACTGCAAGTTCTAGCCAGGTAACTAGCTTATGTTTTTCTCCAAGGGCTATGAGTAGTGTGGGTGTCAGAAAATAAGAGATTTTTTTTTTATTTTAGTATATCTTCCTGGTTGAGGAAAGTGGAACTTAAAACTGTTGCCAAAATCACTACTGTGTTCCTGGATTGTTCTTTATCTTGAATCATGTATCTTACAATTTGTGATTAGTCACAAATTATACTTCACAGCATTTTAGCAAGCAACCCTCAACCACTGAGACATAAATTGATGACCAAAATTCTTAGTATACTCTGGTACATATTTGTATCTAGTGAGTAAGCTTTCACTGAGTTGCTTGTAAAATGCAGGTGTTACAGGGGTGATAATCTTCCTGTTCATACTTGTATGTTCTTTCCCATTCTTTTTTATTGTTTGTATCCTCTTCTGGGAAGTTATTTCCTGCCAATAGTGTAATATATATCCAATAAATCTACACTTGAGTTTGCTAGATTTTTTTACCTTGGATTTTTCAAGGTATATATAAAATAAAAGATTTAACTATCTTCTCATAAATGTCTCAAAAATGTTTGGCAGT